AGTAGTAAACAGTAGGTATTACATACATAGTGCTCAATGCATAAACTATTGTTCTAATATATATTTTAAGATAAACTACATGAAAAATGAGAGTAAAAAAAAGTCTAACTTTAAAAGACAAAACAGTTTCTTGCTTTTTGACACATTAATTTGGCAAATATGTTACTTACTCATCCCCAAAGAGCTGATGAGTATATTCAGGAAAGAAAGTTCTAATATCATTCTCAAGGTCTTCAGGAAAACGAACTGTTCAAAAGAATAAAATATATAGAGATTAGAGGTGACAAACATTTCTATTTCAAGAATTGTACTATAGTTAGGACACTACTAATATTGTTCTTACTTAAAATATTTCTTCTCTTTACATGATTACACTAGATTCTCGAGAGACTGGTGAACCCTGAAAGCTTGATGATACTAAAACGTCAGCATCAAAACCCTATTTATTCTGAAATTGAGAGACACGGTACAATAAAAATATATGATTTCGATTTTACTTTTCTATATTTTATACACAGTGAAAAATGCAAGAGGAAAACAAACCCAAAAGGATACTCGGAGATAAAACTATAGCACATCGGCAATGAAAACAATACTGTACAAAACAGTCTAACAAGAATAACCTAAGTTTGATATGTCCCTAACAGCCATCATTAGAGAATGCTATCACTGTGCATGTATGTAGCAGTCAGAGACCACTACACAGGTGGTTATCTCCTTTCACTTTATTAGACTTGTGAGGCTTGAACTCAGATCATCAGTCTTCTCCAGTTTATGCCATTTCATCAGCCACCATCATTATTTTTTGACTGCGAAATGACATTTATTTTTTATTGTTTCTTTCCCCTCTTAAAAATAATACTGCTTGGAGGCTGGAAAGAAGTCTTATCATTTAAGACTTGCTGCCTTTCTAGAGAACTTGGGTTCAGTTCCTAGCAACAAGAGAGTAGATTACAACTGTCTGCTAACTCCAACTACAGGGAATTCTATGCCTTCTTTAAGAACCAAGTACACATGTGGTACATATATTGTGGTACATATATAATATATATATATACACACACACACGAAGGTAATACAATCATACAAATAAAAATAAATCTTTTTAAATTAAATTAAAAATTATGCTGCATGAGCTTAGGGACACAGCTCAGTGCCTAGTATGACCAAGAGATCCTGAGTACAATCCCTACACTGCAAAACAAGCAAGCAAATAAAATAATGTTGGAATGATACTCATATACATCTCTAGTACTTTTATGAATATGTAGGAGGGAAAATATTTGGTAGAAGAGTAACAGCACTGCTGTTTCTTTATTCGTTTCTTCTTCTTTTTTTTCCTTAGAGGGTTTCTCTGTGTATGTAGCCCCAGCTGTTCTGGAACTCGCTCTCTACCAGGATGTCCTGGAACTCACTCTGTAGACCAGACTGACCCCCAAACTCAGAGCTCCACCTGCCTCTGCCTATGAAGTAGGCAGTCTTCATGGGCAAAGTCATTCACTGCATGCAAACTGTCACCTAGAAGATCACCACTTTACAGAAGAGGGAACTTTAACTCTGATAGCTGCCTTTTCAAGGGATTAAACTATTAAACTTAACATCACTCACTATGGGAAAGACCAACAGCACTGATGACTCATGAAGCTTTCATACCTTTTCCTAAACCTACTCAATTTAAAAATTTGTTTGTTTGTTTGTTTTTTTGAGACAGGGTTTCTCTATGTAAGAGTCCTGGCTGTCCTGGAACTTACTCTGTAGACCAGGATGACCTCAAACTCAAGAGAGATCTACCTGCCTCTGCCTCCCAAATACCGGGTATGCACCACTACTGCCCGGCTTCAATTTTTTAAAGTTTATTATTTATTTTTCTAAGATTTATTTATTTATTGTATTATGTATACAACATTCTGCCTCCATGTATGCCCGCACGCCAAAAGAGGGCACCAGATCTCATTACAGATGGTTGTGAGCCACCATGTGGTTGCTGGGAATTGAACTCAGGACCTCTGGAAGAGCAGCCAGTGCTCTTAACCACTGAGCCATCTCTCCAGTCCTCCACCCCCCACTTCAATTTTTAAAATTTATAACTTAAAGAAAATACAGGACAGAGAAGTAAGTTTCAAGAAAACACAGGTAAGACAAATTCAGAATGTAGATTTATCTAGTAAATCTATACACTGACTTTATTCTCCCAAATAAACTAATGACCCAGATAAATAAACTAATGACCTTGCACATAGGAAAGATTGACAGTTCTAAGTAAAAGGAGATTAAAACACAAATTACAACCCAATGCAGAGCAGGAGACTAAGAGTGCAGCTCAGGGCTGAAGTGTTGTCTATTGAGAGCAAGGTCTTAATTCAGTTCCCAGCATCACACAAAGAAAAATAAATGCACATAAGTTAAGTACCCTTGACTAGATCCTGCCTTAAAAAACTTTTTTGATGTTCTGGTTGTGAGCCCAGTTTTTAACTACTAAGCCACCTCTGCAGTCCATTTTTTTTATTAATAAAGGAACTTGAGGATAGCCAGAGAAACCTAGAAATTATATATTAGCTCTGATAATGGCATGATTATATGAACATATGAAGACATGTTTGTAGGAGACATACTATAACAAGTATGTGCAAAAAGCTAATTTCAAATAATTCACCCTAAATACACACTAAAGCACATACAGTCAAATGTTGAAATCAGAAAAGGGCTGGGGATGTAGCTTAATCAGTAAGAAGTTTAAGGTTGGTTCATAAAAGCCCAACAACGCATGTCTCAGGGCCAGTCAGCTGGGAGAGTTCAGGAAAGGTCCTGACTAAAGTCTACTTGGGCAGTCAGTATTTAATATCTTAATAAAGTTTGCTTCAATTTGGCTCAGAAAAAAAAAGAACCAAACAAGTTTAAGGTTGAGTATGACATGAATGAACACACATGTACAAACTCTAGGATAACAAAAACATTAATATTTTTAAGTCTTTAAATGCAGTTATGGCAGCACAGCAAGCAATCAAGCCCAAATAAGCTGTCCATGACACTACACTCAATTTATAAAAGAGGAAGAATAAATGTAAGTGATGCATGATAAAAATACCCAAATTATAATACAAAAGGAGTCATTTAGTGATGAACTATGGGTAACTTTTATTTTTACTCTTTGTTTTGCCCTTTCCAAAATTTCAGCAGAATATATTACTCCAACAGGCAGAAAGTCATTAAGATGTTGAAATAAGCCTGGTGTGGAAAGTTTCCCAGCACAGTGGAGACTGAGACACAAGTAGTACAAGTACATGGACAGGCTGGGCCACATAGTGAGTTCTAGCTCAGCCTTGGCTACTGTCTCAAAGCAAAGCAAAACAAAACAATACTAACCCCTCACCTGTAATTTTCAGAAAAGATATACTTTATCTTCTGATTAGCCACAGAAAAATTAGGCTGGGAATTGTGGCACATCCCCTTATAATCCCAACACTTGGGAGATGGAAGCAAGAAGATTAGAAATTATAAATGCTAGATGTGGCTACATATTGATGTCCAGGCCAGTCTACATGTACCCCTACTTCAAAAGACCAAAATTAAGGAATTATTAAAACATGAACTTACTTAACTTTTAAATTTTAATGACTACGGTGGCGTGAGTAAGAATCATACACTTGAATGCTTGGCCCCTAGTTGGTGGGGCTGTTTGAGGAAGGACTAGGAGGTGTGGCCTTGTTGGAGGTATAAATAACTGAGGTTGGGTTCTGAGGTTGCAGAAGCCCATACCAGCCGGTTTCTCTCTGCCTCTACCTTTTAGATAAGGTATAAGCTCTCAGCTACTGTTCCAACGCCATGCTTGCCTACCTGCCACCATGCTTCCCACCACGATGACCATGGACTAACTCTGAAACTGTAAGCAAGCCTCCAATTAACTGTGTTCTTTTTTAAGTTGCCTGGGTTGATAGTTTCCTGCTGAAAGACTACATTTTTCAGCTTCCTTGTAGACTACATACATTAGTTATTTCTGCCCCTGTGAGGGGCCACATCACATCTTCCTCTGTAAGCGTTTTTTGTCATCCATACACACTGAGTGACAAAGTGTCCCTCACAGTGAACAAACAAGGTCCCTCACAGTGAAAAAGACAAGGTCCAGGCCTAAGGTCAAACCAAACCTCTCTTTACAGCTGCCTTTTAATAATCTAACATATGGTGTCAAAGACCTGGAATAGTAAATCTGTGCCTACTAGTGGCTCAAGTCCACTCATGGACAAACCTTCTGGCTCTCTCATACACTTCCATGCTGGGAGCAGGCCAGGTAGGACCACCCTTTTCTCTCCCACAACCCGCCCTTTTCACTGCATCTCTGCCCTGTCATCTTGACAGTCTGACTCAGGTGGTAGGCCACACTGCATTCGAGCAGAATACACAACCTAAAATGCTGGGACAAGGTAATAGTGGACCTCATTCAGAGGTACCTTACTTAGGTTCTGGGATCACTGGAGCTTTCTTAAAGTCTGCTCTGTAGAAGGCACCAGAGAGTTTCTACCAGCTGGAAAAGTTTAACTGAGAATTCTGAATTTTTCACTGGCCTACTACTCAATCAACCAAAAGCTGATAACCTTTCACTAGCTCTGCAGCTCCTTAACCTTGGAGTTGTATAGGCTGGGTACACTCCCTTACTTTCCAGGTGCATTTGGTCATTTCCAGACTTAGAGGATGCTATGAACAACCGGGCATTGGACCCTGTCTATTCCTTGGTACTGAGCACAGGCACAGGTTCTAAATTTTCTGTACCAAAAGAAACTCCGTTGGCCTGTTTGATGGTAAATTTAAAGGAGCTCCAAATAGAACTAAAACCATTCAATATAAATCTGGCTTCAATATACACTGGATAAATGGCCACTGCTGGCCCCAAATCAGAACATTCAATTACCTAAACTGATTTAGATAACCCTGTTAAGACAGAATGGTTGCCTGGTCCAAGACCCCTCCTCCATATTAAGTCACAGTTCACTTTATCCTTTTTCAAGGCTCTGGTTTAAAGCCATACCTAGAGCCAAAATGCCTGCTGCTGTTATGGGCGACGAAAACAGGAGAATTCTGGGAAGAGGAAAGACTGAGTCTGCAGTTGTCACCCAGATCAAGAGAAAGCAAGATGAGACTGCCGCACTGATAAAAGGTACCAAGCCACATGGCTAACACAGACAAGAATTATGGACTAATGTCAGATGTAAGAATTAGTTAATAAGAAGCCTGAGCTAATAGACCAATCAGTTTGTAATTAATGTAGACCTCTGTTTGTTTCTTTGGGACTGAATGGCTGCAGGGCAGGGTAGGACAGAAATCTCTGTCAACAACTCTTTGAGTTCTTCCCCCTTTTCTTGGTTTTGTTCATTATCTTTAAAGCTTTTGTTAGAATTATTAAGTTCACTGAGTGAAACTTTAAAAGGATGTATGGATAACTTAATTAGCTATAAAATAGCATGTATGTAACTTAGATTCAACACTTGTTTAAGAAGAGGGCCTAATGGCCTCACCTTGGAGTACCATGTGGCTGATGACCTAGGTCCACCTTGAAGTAACAACCATGTAGCTTATTGCCATCTTGGTATCCATGTGACTCAACCACCCCTTCTCTTAGGTTAAAAAAAAAAAGGGGCATGCTATGTGACTTCACCACCATCTTGGTTAAAATGACCACAAGCTATATATAAATCAACTAGAGCAATATCCATAAAACAACTAGATCCACTGAGTCCTCTGTTTATCCTTGTATCTCCCTTTTATTAGCCTAAGGAAGCAACACTAGGCTTCCAAGATGGTTAGTTTTGAAGCTGCCATTAAAAAACTAGCATTTAGTACAAGCACTTATAAAAGAATCAGAAAAATGAAGTTCCCAGGCTCTCTGTGGACAGTATTTATGTTATGGTTTTAAGTTTATTTTGATACTAAAGGATCTTTAATTCAAGAATTTTTATTTTGTGTTTGTTTTCAGTTTTTCAAGACAGGGTTTCTCTGTGTAACAGCCTACTTGTTCTGGAACTCACTCTGTAGACCAGGCTGGCCTAGAACTCAGAGATCTGCCTGCCTCTACCTCCCAAGTCCTGGGATTAAAGATGTGTGCAACCACCAATTGGCTAATTCAAAATATTTTTAAGGCTCAAGCTTAATAAGAATATAAACTGTAAAATCCTAATTTTATAAAATGCACCAACTTGGCCAAAGGTGGTGACACATGTCTTTAAACCTAGCACTTGGAAGGCAGAGGCAGACGAATCTCTGTGAGTTTGAGGTCAGCCTGGTCTACAGAGCGAGTTCCAGGACAGCCAGAGTTACACAGAAAGACACTGTCTTGAAACACCCCCCCCCACCAAAAAAGAAGGAACAACTTGTTATAAACTGTTAAAGATAATCAAGACATGCAAGTTAATGGCCAGTCACTATATAAATGATCGAATTATTTAATGTGCTCAGAACTGTTTGCAGTTATGCTACATATAAATATAATTTATTTACAGGGACAAGCTTGGAATGAGAGACCAATTTTTTATTTTCCATCATATAGTCTTCTGTTGCCTCCTGTCATACAACATTCTGTATATGTTGTCAAAATTAAGCCTGACATAAGTAAGTCAAAACAAGTTTAAATTTAAAAATTTAATGTAAAATAATGTTCAAAATCATGTAAAATTTTAAAAATTGGTTATAAAAGATTGAATACTTGAGTAAAATGAGTTAAATTTACAATATACTTGTGTTAAGTTTCAAGCCCAGGGTACTAGAGAGATTGCTAAGCAGTTAAGACCACTGGCTGCCCTTCCAGAGGACCTGGGTTCAACTCCCAACACTCACACAGCAGCTCACACCTGTCAGTAACTCAGTTCCAGGGAATCTGACACCCTCGCACCAATGCACATAAAATTTAAATAAATTATTACTTAAAAAAAGTTTCAAACCCAGGACAGATGGCTGAGGTGCCTATTTAACATATTAAAGCAGACCTGGCCTCCAGGTTTTCCCATACCCCTCAGTGCTACCTATTATAGGCTATGGCTGACATAGCCTGCCCTCTGCCCCTGAACTCTCCAACATAGAGGATATGTTGCCCTTCCCCAGAGGCTCTTCCCTATACTATCCAGACATTTTGGTTACCCGCCCCTTTTGTACCTTTGGACTCCTGGTTGCTACACCTGGTTCCCCTCTCTCCCTTCTCCCCTCATGGCCTATTTCAGTCTGGTCATGTCTACTCTGGACTTTCTCAGATGTCCCTGTCTCTGCCTCTGGCTATGCTCTCGCCCTTTTATCTATAATAAACTTTCTTCTTCACCATACCTAGGAGCAGTCATGTCCTTTCTTTTCCTTGTTATTTCTTCTTTTCATTCAACTTGCATGGCAAGAAATTCCCCAGGCTCAAACAGTTCCCTTGGATAGAGGACTAGTTTCTCTGGATGGAGCAGCATTCCACTAGAGTTAGGTTGCAGGTTAGCCTCCTTACATGATGCAAAGGAAATAAGACCTGCCTGAAGTCTAGGGCTTCTGCCTCTGGCTGCCTGACCAGCTCCAATTGCAAGGCCTGACCATCCCTGGCTTTAAAGGCCAAACAAACAAGCAAAAGAAACATGCTTCTCATGTAAAGATAAATTTCTCCTGTGTCTCATATGAGAAAAGGGATGGATTCTCTTGCCTAATAGAGGATCTCAGAGTCTACACCCATATCCTAAATATCTCAGAGAGGCAAAAAGCAACTATTCCACCATCAATGTCTTCTGAACTGACATATGAGAATGCTGTGACCAGGGGAACCTTGTATATAAGCCTAATACCTGACTGATATAAGACCTGCATACTAGTTCAGTCATGCACTTTATCCTGTCATTCAATTCTTCCTCTTAGCAAAAGCTAATTCCAGGGCCTATATCCTAACCATCCATGTTCCCTCATTAAAGGAAGATGCCAGATACTCTATCATTACACTTACAGCTTTGGAAAGTTGTTCAGAATATCCAAGCAGTGTCTTTTACAGTTGGTTTTGTATCTGTAGTGTCAACAAAAGATGCTATTGATATCCCAAGCTTTCGTGTTCTTCAGAAGATGACTTAGATGGAGATTCTCTCCAACCTGAGCTCACCTGTGGTGATCAAAACTATAATCTACTTTTTACCCAGACAGCGCTCCAGGACCAATGCCTGAACTCTTACCTTAAAGCCAACAAGAAGTACACAGCCTTTAGTAGTGATGTCTGTGGATGTTTTCTAAGACATTCCAAAATCCAATATTTATTAAAGCTCGTTTAATTTGGTTATCTTGCTTTATAAATTATGACTCTAAACAATCGATTTTTAAGAATGATATTAAGAAATATGCTTACTGCTGATGGTATGTGTTGATCGATTTGTCCATTTGCAGGAGTAAAGAGTTGGCTTTAGCCTTCTTTGTTAATTCAATCTATGATGTATACTACTTACTACAAATTTGACATGAAAGCCTGGTGGTGGTAGCACACACCTTTAATCCCAGCACTCAGAAGGCAAAAGCAGGCGGATCTCTAAGTTCGAGGTCAGTACCATCTACAGAGTGAGTTCCAGGACAGTCAGAGTCACAAAGCAAAACCCTGTCTCAGGAAAACAAAAACAAATTTAACATGACTGCTTCTATCTTTCAACTGCTGGTTGAGTGCTTAGAATGAAAATGTAGAGATTTTTAAAAGGTTCTTTTAAATAGGGTTAATTTTAGAAAATTTTGTAAAGTGAATCATTTATTCTTGATAAAGCAGACACTATCTCTAGAAGTATAGTTTTTAAACTGAAAATTAAAAATCATTTCTTTTTTGGGAAGTACAACTACAATTACATTATCTCATGGAATATAACAATTTGATGTTAACAAAAAATGTATTGTCATGTTTTTAAATAGTAGATATGGTCATTTAGAGTAATAATTCCAATTTTAAAAATTTTAACCTTATCAAATTGTTTCTAACCAAAAAATTTTGTTTTACTTAAGATGCTTTTGTTTAGTAAATAGTACTGTTTATAAATAGTAATAGTTTTTGTTTAGTAAATAGTAATGTTTAAGACAAATATACAAAGTTTATCATATGTAAAGAATATCATTTAGATACTTTCTGTTCAGGTTCATTCTTAGAATGCTGCTAGGTTTAATTGACATCTTTTACAAACGCTTCCAGGTGCTTGTTACTTAGGCAGAAGTCTGACGTAAACAAACAGCTAATTAGCTACCCTACTACCTACAGAATTCTCGTGCATGGTCCAGCCAGTTCTTTTTCTTTTTTCTTTCTTTCTTTCTTCTTTTTTTTTTTTTTTTTTTGTTTTGGAGACAGGGTTGGTCTGTCCTGGAACTAGCTCTTGTAGACCACCACATTGGCCTCGGATTAAACGCATGCACCACAGCCACCTGGCCTGGCCAGTTCTACTAACTGCACTTAACTCACGCTAATCTTGACGGAAAAGTTTTCCTCGTGTAACTTTGTGTCTCCACAAAATTGTACAGTTATTACCGCCTGACTTATGCTCTGGATCTTTGCCAACTGTTAACTTTCATCATGGCCCTTGATGGGCCCTCTTCTGAAGCACTCTTAACTGCTGCTCCCATCACTCCTCTGTCAGCCTTGAAGCAGTTATTGAAATGCTCCCAAACCCTTAAAAGCAATTTGGGTGACCTCTAAAAGATGACTAATGGGCCATGGGCTATACAACTCATCCCTTTCTTGCCACTCTGGACACTGTTTGGGGGACTCAGAACTAAAACAGCTGGATGGAAGCCTTCTTTGCATCAATTACTCCCCTCACCAGCTCAGATCAGCTTAACATCTTTCAGGACCAGCTCAACTCCTTGACTGCTGCAGTACTCCACAATTAAAAATGACCAGATATAACTCCTGGGATGGGATTTGTGCTATCCTCCATGAACATGCTTCTTTCAAACCAACACATCCTAACTGGTTTGAAATGGGGCCTACAGACAGGGACCAGATTTCAATCACAAGCCTCCTATGTATGGGCTCTGGTTCTCTCCCATTTTGGTTCATCCTCTTGCTCACTCCTTTCTCCTTATTATCCTCATACTTACATTTTTACTGTCTTTTAAATGTTTTACTTACTGAACTACATCCTCCACCTGTTGTAGAGTATTATTTTAAGATGTATTACATTTGTTTATGCTCCAGAACATTTGTTTAATAATGTAAAAATGTGCTGCTTTTGTTTATGCTACATTTGTTTAACTCTATAAAGCTGTGATTCTTTGCCTGTCTGAAACACCTGATGGGCTAATAAAGAGCTGAGCAGCCAATAGCAAGGCAGGAGAAAGGATAGACGGGGCTGATTGGCAGAGAGTATAAGTAGGAGAACTCTGGAAAAAAGGAGGAGCAAGAAAGCAAGAAAGCAAGAAAAGAGGATGTCAGGGGCCAGCCACCTACCAAGTAAGAAAAGGAAAAGCCCAGAGCCAAAAGGTAGGTGGGATAATTTAAGATAAGAAAAACTGGCTAGAAACAAGTCGAACAGGCCAGACTGTGGTGGTGCACGCCTTTAATCCCAGCACGTGGGAGGCAGAGGCAGGCAGATCTCTGAGTTTGAGGTCAACCTAGTCTACAGAGCTAGTTCCAGGACAACTAGGGCTGTTATGTAGTGAAACCCTATATTGAAAAACGGAGGGGAGAAGGATGGTGGGGGGACACGGGTGGATGGGACAAGTCAAGCTAAGGCCGGCCATTTCTAAGTAATAATAAGACTTTGTGTGTATTTATTTGGGAGCCGGGTGGTTAAAAAAAAAAAAAACTATCCAAACAAAATGTTTCACCCAAGTTTTCCCAACAGCTTGCACCCCTCAACAGTTCCATGTGTTTTTAATACACCAGCAAAAAGATCTTGTAGATGCTATAGGGAAACTCTAGCTAAAAGGGTCCTTCATCCCTTTCACTCCAGGCCAGATGCAATTCTTTGATTAGTTCTCTATTTTCTCCTGTTCCCTTCCTTTAACGCTCTGTAGCTCCCTACTACTTCCACTAGCTCATCTGGCAATAGGACCAGCCACTGTCATCCTGAGTCAACTCTGCCTACTTTCTTCCACCTGTTCCTCCCCATTCCTCAACCTTCCTGGCAAATCTCATTTATACGCTGTAACCAAATCATCCACTTATAGTTCTCTAATAATAACTTTCCAAATCTCTTCACAGACACATGAGGACACACTGCATCCAATCAAGTTAACCCCCGGTACATTACCAGAGGATCCCTTCTTCAATGGACTCAGATCTATTCCCCCCACTGACAAAGATCCTTCTCAGCAAAAATCAGCTACAACACCACAGCCCGACATTCTCTATAGCTTCTGAGTTAGAAATGATAGTTTCCTGCTGAAAGACTACATTACCCAGTTTCCCTTGCAGACTATAGAAATCATTTCTGTTCTGCCCATCCCATCTTCCTCTGTTGGTATCTTGGCCACCCATACACATGTGTGACAGTATTTCCTCACTGTGAATAAACATGGTCCCACTAAGGTCAGACTAAGTCTCTTAAAAGATCCAGTATCTCCACAGCTGCCTAACATTGGTCATGATGTCTCTTAGCAAAAGAAAAGAAACTAGAACAGAAGTTGATACCAGGGCCTGGGATATTCCTGTGACAGGCCTGACCATGCTGCTTGTTGGAACAATGCAGACTCTGGGACTTTGAACTAGGAAAGTTGTTGAATGCTTTAAGCAGCGCTAAATGGATCATCCTAATGGAAGAGTTGGAAGAAAGCAGTGCTGAGAGCAATGTAGACTATGGAGGCCCTGGCTCAAGAGGTTTCTGAGGGGACCAACATTAGCAACTTGGCTAGGGACTATTCTTGTAAAACATGGCTTCATTTTGCCATTGTCTTAAGACTGCTGGAGGCTAAATTGAAGAGTTTGATTAATGGCAGTGGCAGAGATTTCAAGACAGCTTAGTACTGGCTATGTCACATGGTTATTAGTGATGATTATGCAGATCTACAATGAGAAAGAGAAAATGGGACAAAAAATGTACAGTTTGAGGAGAAAAAAAACATGAAATTTTAATGTTGGAGTCAAATCCTGTGCACAAAGAGATATGAAATTTAAGGAAGGGTTTAAGGAGAAATGGAATAAAGAAGTGGTGCTCTGTGGTAGTCTGAATGTAATTGGCCTCCATAATCTCATAGGGAGTGGCACAATTAGGAGGTGTGGCTTTGCTGGAGTGGGTCTTGTTGGAGGAAGTGTGTCACTGTGGGGGTGGGCTTTGAGGTTTCCTATGCTCAGGATACCACCCAATGTCTCAGTCGACTTCCTGTTGCCTGCAAGCCAAGATGGAGTGAGCACCACGTCTGCCCCATATACTGCCATACCCCCCACCATGATGATAATGGACTAAAACTTTTGAAACTGTAAGCAAGTCACCCCAATTAAATGCTTTCTTTATAAGAGTTGTCGTGGTCATTATGTTTCTTCACAGGAATAGAAACCCTAGCTAAAACACGCCCCCAGGACAAGACCCCACCCAGCTAAACTTCCAACATGGTATTCAACAAAGGAAAGCACCCATGGTGGTGTCCTTGCCTTTAATCCCAGCAGTTGGGAGGCAGAGGCAGGCAGATCTCTGTGAGGGCCAGCCTGGTCTAGTTCTGGGACAGGCACCAAAGCTATAGAGAAACCTTGTCTCAAAAAACAAACAAACAAAAAACAAAGAAAAGCACCAAGTCAAAGCTTATACAAATATAATTCGGGGGGGGGGGGGAAGCAAGTTCCAGCCTGGAAGCAGAACTTAGCAGCTTTAGTGAAGTATTCTGGCTTCCTCAAAAAAATATAGAAGTCGTGGAAAGGAACATCCTTCAAAGTTGAAGAATACTGCTGAGACCCAGAAAGGTCATTTATGAAAGTTATAAAAGTGAAACTTGGATTATGTTGGGGACCCCAAGATATTGAAGATGCAAGAGCCATGAGATATCTGCTAAGGAGAGTTGCACAGAAGATGTTGAGCCAGCCCAAAAGACAGAAATTTGTTGCAGTCAACAAAGCTAAGAAGAGTGGGAGATCTCAAGAACCATGTGACATCAAACACATTAGGATTTGGAGTTTGCCCTGCTAGATTTCAGCTTTTCTTTGGTCCAGTATTTCCTCACTATACCTTCCCAACCCTCCCTTTTGTAAAGTATATTCTGTGCCACTGTATGTTGAAAATATATAATTTATGTATTTTGATTTTACAGGGAACTATAATTAAGATACTGCCTTGAGTCTAAAAAGACACTTAGAACTTTGGGACTCTTTAGTGTTGAGGCTGTAAAGGATGATGGGCACTCTTGCAGTTAGACTATAACACATTTTGCATTATGCTATGGCTACAAGCCTATAGGGGCCAGGGAGTGGAATTTGATTATCTGAATGAGAATGGCCTCCACGGGCACATATATTTGAATGTTTGGTTCCTAGTTTAGGGACTGTTTAGGAAGGAATCAGGGTGACTTTGTTGGAGGAGGTATGTCAGTGGAGGTAGGTTCTGGAGTTTCAAAAGTCCATGCCAGGCCCAGTCTGTCTCTGACCCTTGCTTGTGGATCAGATGTAAGCTCTCTGCTACTGTTCCAGCATCATACTTTCCTGCCTGCTGGCATGATCCCCAGCATGATGATCATGAACTGTAAGCAAGCCACCAATTAAATGTTTTCTCTTACAAATTGAATTGGTCATGGTGCCTCTTTCCAGCAATAAGAGTGTAATAACTAAGACACTACCTAAGGCAGACTAATCGACTGACAAATGGAGTACTTCCCCTTATATGCACAAAGACATCAAATCTTTAAGCACCCCTGTTTCTCCCAGTAATTTTCCCTTGTCTGATATTCTTGGTATCAACATATGAACATACCATTATCCTTTCCTCCCCACTTTTAAATCTTGTCCCACTAGAGAGATGCGCCAGTTAAGCGCTTATTGCTCTTGAGCAGTTTGGTCCCAGCACACCACATCAGGCTGCTTAAAACTGCCTGTAAATCCAGCTCCAGAGAATCATATACCCTTCTTTGGCCTCCATGTGCTCAGATGTGTAGATACATGTAAATAAAAATCTTTAAAAAAATTATCTTACAGGGAGAGAGCAGTAGTGGCAAACGTCTTTAATCCCAGTACTGCAGAGGCAGATGGATCTCTTTGAGTTCAGGGCAGCCTGATATACAGGACAAGTTTCAGGACGGCCAGGGCTACAAAGAAAAACCCGTCTCAAAAAAATAAAAAATTATCTTCTGATAAGATTAGTATCTGATAAAGTAGATGTCAATATAAAGCAAGATGAGATAAGAGGGGAAAATAAAGATGAGATGTCCTTATGACTAGAGATGAGAGGAGAAGTATTTTCTAACAGTTATAAACTCATGGATAGCGATGCAGCTCAGCTGGTAGACTGCCTACCATGTGCAAAGCTCTGGCTTTGATTCCTAGTACCACATACCTATAATCCCAACAATACACAAGTGTCAACCTCAGGATTATTAGAGCACTGGTTCTCAACCTTCCTAGTGCTGCAATCCTTTAATATAGTTAAAATAGTACAGTTGATACCAAAAAATTATTTTTTAAATAATCTTTTTTAAAATTTATTTAATTTTATGTGCATTGATGTGAGTGTGAGATCCCCTGGAACTAGAGTTACAGACAGTTGTGAGCTGCCTTGTGGGTGCTGGAAATTGAACTTGGGGCCTCTGAAATAGCAGTCAGTGCTCTTAACCACTGAGCCATCTCTCCAGCCCCATAAAATCATTTTTGTTGCTATTTCATAAATATAATTTTGCTACTATTATGAATCACAATTTAAATATCTGATATGCAGGGTATCTGATATTTGACCTCGTGAAAGGGTCATTCAACCTCCCCAAAGGGGCTGTTATCTACAGGTTGAGAATCGCTGGATTAGAAGATGTAGTTCAGCAATAGGAATACAAATTATCAAGAGATTAACATGTGGCTGGAGAGGTGGCTCAGCAACTAAGACAATGTGTTGCTCTTGCAGAGGACCTAGGTAGCTTCCCAGCATCCACTTGGTAGCTCACAACCATCGATTTCAGGAAATTGAACCCTCTCTTCCATTCTCCAAGGACACCAGGCACATATGTAATGAATACTAGGGCTCTTTGGAGAAATGTTAATTCAGGACTATGAAGACCTGAACTTGGATGATAGAACCCTCAAAACAAGCCGTGTGGTCTCACATGTACCTGTGACCTCAGTGTTGTGGAGAAATTCTATGCCTACTGTCCCTACATTTAGCCTGGGGAAATGATTCTCTACTGTTGGTCTTTATGGATGTCTTTTCTAAACCTTTCATACAAATGGAATCATACACTCTGGTGACTTTTCCTGGCTTCTTTTACTTAGCATGTTCCAAGGCTTCTCCACATTGTAGCAGGAATCAGGACATCACTCCTTTTTACTGTCAGATAGTATTACATTGACTAGCTACAGCACACTTTATCTTACTGACTGTCTGATCTGAGCTGTTCACACCATTTGGCTATTGTGAATATACACCTACTGAGCACTCATGTGCTTTTAGATGAACAACATCTTCGCTTCTCTTGAACAGCCACTTAAGAGAACTGCTGGCTCATATATGTAATTTTTGCTTATTTGTTTTTTTAAAGATCTACCAAACTAAAGTTATTATCTTATACTGACCACTAATGCATGATTTTTTTTCACATCCCCACCAACACCTTCTTTGCTTCTTTGGTTTTTTGAGACCAGGTTTCTCTGTGTAGTTTTGGTGTTTATCATTTTCGAAAGCAAGCATTTTTAAGAAGCTAAGACTACATATACCTGTGGCTTTGCCATAGTATCTTTCCCATGTGCTAAACTGCCGTCTTCTGCCTACCCCATACCACAGTGTAACTCGAGACTGCTGAAAATCTCAATTTCACAAATGCGGGCAATTCCAGTTAAATCACTATTCTTAACATAAAATTTTATTTCAAAGTTAAAAGGCTACATTATATACACACACTCAGCTGCACACATGAAGGCATTCTGAAATGACTTACGTACCCAACTTCAGTTCAATCGCTGTGTTGGTATTACATTTGTACTCGGCCAACTTCTTCTCCACCGCACTCTTATATTCTACCAGAAATTTCTCCATGGCACCAAATCCTAGAAGAGGTGTTGAAAGGGTGGTTGAAAGGGACTTAAAGCAAGATTTTTATTTGAAGTGGTCTAAGGATAAGCTGGAACACAGGTTGCAACAGTACAGATCACTCTCCCTGAACCTTTCAACAAATATACTGCATATGAATACCTCATAAAACGGAAAGAAAACAAGACCACCTTTACCGCAGGCCTGTAATTCCATCTTGCAGGAGGCAAAGACAGGACTGAGCAGGAGGCCAGCGTAACCTGCATAATGATTACAAAACCTATTTCAAGTAATCGCTGCTGTAGAAATTACGTGTAAGTAAGTACTGTATCCGCTCCATTTCTCATTTAATAACTCTGGCTAAGGAAGCGGTTTAATTGATGGGCACCAAACTAGGAAGTGGTGGGGCTCAAATTTGAATTTTGACGTAATTCTCATTATACAGCAACTCTTCTTTGGTTCCAGGGTACCCAAATACCCTAATGGACAACTTCATCTGGTAGAACAATCCTGTGCAAATTTCAAACTACACAGTTTACTAATACTGCCTAACTATAAAAGAGGAGTGCTTAACAATGGAGTGAGACAATGTGAAGGCACTTGGGAAAACGACAAGAATCTACCCATCGCTTCGAAAGATAGGTAACTGTAAAAGGGAAACTCCATCAAAACACTTCAATGGCAACTTAAACTTTTGTTTGTTTTTTAAAGACAAGGGTTTCACTGTGTAACCCTGGCTGTCCTGGAACTCACTCTGTGGACTAGGCTGGCCTCAAACTCACAGAGATCCTCCTGCCTCTGCCTCCCGGGTGCTGGGATCAAAGGCGTGCGCCACCGAGGTCTGGCAACTTAAACATTCTTAAACCCTAAAGACTGGAAGACTCAAGTGAATGAACCAGAAGAAAATACTACTACATACAGTACAAAAGTTCCACTCGCAAAGAGAAGTTTGGCAGTGCAGACACGTCTTTCTCACAGGATATCCAGAAATGTCCTCAGGGATCCTAAAGGGTGAGAGACCCTGAGTGTGCCCAGCACCAGGTCACTGCACCACTGCACTCGCCCAGAAGCTG